TATAATGTGAACTAGCTGCTCCACTGTTTGTAAGAGTGTTCTACTGTAAGTTACAGCATTACAGAGGAGCATTGAATACACTCTGCTGCATTATTTTCCTCTGCTTCATCCTAAAATAAGCCCTGTTATTTGTTTTTAGAAAATGGCCTTTTAAAATATCATATCAGTTACCCTCTAGACAAGCGAATCAATACTTGATGAGCATTACTTTTCTGTACTGGTTTTTTCTCCTCATGCTCTAACATACCTTCAATGAAAAATATATTTGTTACCCCGCTCCGTTGCCGTCCAAGCCCGCCGAAGTTCGAGCTGTGAATTTACTGCAGCCGTCCGTCTTCCTTGCTTGGCACGGGCCGCTTTGTCAGTGTTAATGTGGCGAGTTCGTAGGTGCATCCAACAGCCATCCCAGTTTATTAACATTCGTGAGTGCAAAGCAAAAAAACATGGTCATCTGGATGAATGCAACATTCATTCAGGGCCTGGCAGGGTGATGTGAGGTGGGGTGGGCGGTGCGGGTTGGGAGACTGCCCAAAGGCACGCTGGGGGCTTCCAGAGGAGTGATCATCATTTTGTGATTTAATACCCTTCTTACATGATATAAACATACTGTTATTAGCACGCTTTGTATGCTGAAAGTTAGCGCTTTGTTGATACTAAAAGCATATTGAGATTAAACTAATTATTTATATGATTTTCCAACTTTAAATAGTTATAATAAAGTACAGTGCACTGCCTTAAATGTACAGTGTACTTATGGTTGATTCAACACTAAATAATTTACATTCAGTACTGTCAGCGGTGGAGTTTAAATAAATATTTTACTCAATACTCTTTCATTTCAGAAGAAAAAACAAGTTTTTACCAATTTGTCTGACATATTTGTTGCCCAAACTTAAAGAAAGCTTTAATTACAGTGCCTAATTTGGCGCACGTCACTTGATGCTCCCATGGTGCATTGCAGGCTTCAGATATGATGTGTCAACACCACAGAACCAGCAGTATTTGTTTCCTTAAGAGTACAGATGCCTTCATACAGGAAGAACACAAACCTGACAGCCATCAGAATAAAGTGGTGACAGCTGAGGTGTCCAACCAGTAGTGACAGTTGTCATTTTAACACGCACACAAAATAAATTGCAAAATAAACTGCAGGAAAAACGGAGTAGGGGCATCAAAGCAGTGCGCCATAATACTTTTGGTGCATGCAGAGGTAAAATTAGGTGTACTTCGAAAATGTGCATGTCAGACACCCTCTGTCCATTTGGGCCTTTAACTACTCCAAATTTGGTGTTTTATATAATTGAATTTTGTCTGATAAACTAAAGAATTAAGCTTTTTTTCAATATTGGATAAAATAAGCGAAACCTTGAACATCCACAGCAGTCAAAAATGCAAAATACACATTGGTGCAGAATTTATATAAATCCAAGAACACCGTATAAAGGGTTAAACGCTGACATTTTTCCTCATTTTTTTCTTACTGCATAGACAATGAATTGGCAAAGATGTTATACAGTATATGACACTCAAGCAACCTTGATAGTGTTCTCATAATATGGGTCCATTTTACATTTTAAGTGAGAACACTTAAGTAAAGCTCATTTGATGCTAAATGAGAGAACAACAAATTGGTTGACTCACAACCCAGATTAAAAAATCAATCTACCATTCATTGGGTATGGAGCAGCTCCAGATATACTTCTCTAATTACGGGATTTGACAAAATAAGTATCTTATGTATCTTATGTTGATGAATGTTGATTGCACTTTCCCAAGCCACGGAATAAAACATATTGAATTTAGACCTAAAGTCAGGTATTGAATTTAGGGTGATTGGAGTATTTGCACTGTGTGTTATTAGTACCTATATTTAAGTAAATGATCTGGATACATCTTCCGTCACTGCACACTGAAAAGTAAATGCTTTTGCATTGAGCCAAAACACGTTCATTATCCCTTCTTCGCCCATCTGGCTTTTGTGTGTGACTGTAGTGCATCATCTGGTCGCACTCATGGCAACCCAGCCAGCAAAGCAGGAAATGCATTACTTCAAATACAAAGCGCTTTAGCCTATATGTAAAGGACCTGTTCTACGTATGCGACAGTTTGACTGCACATGAGAGAGGGAATACATGAGAATGTGCCTTGCAGGCCAGTCTGACCAGACCAGACCAGGGGCCTTTCTCATTACTCTAATTCCCCTCCTCGACTCCTCGGTCCTCCGGTAGTGACCCGGAAATGGATTTCAGCGCACCATGTTGAAGGACATCTAATTTCTCTAAACGCACATCGAGGATCGAGCATCGAGGAGGCTCTCTGGAGGAGCTATAACCGAGGATACACTGATGGTTCCTCCACGGATCCTCCACGGATGTATTTCCGGCAACAGTGATGTTTAAAAGAGGTGTGACGCACGGCCGGACTGATCTCAACCAATGACAGCTCTGCATGCATCCCCTGGATATTATTTTATTAACTGCTTTAATCACGACGCGATGTTTACAGTGAGAACAGCTGTGAGGTCCGTGCAGAAAGCAGAGCAGTGTGTATAATATATATCACTCAGTATAACAGGCCTACTCTCTTTATTTGTATGCTTTAGTTTAGTAGATATCTACCAACAAAGAGTCGATATTTTTCTAAAACCATTTAGTGCTTCACATAATAAAATACACCGGCTGTATCCTGATATATATTATATGCTTTAGGAGCTGTGTGTGTGTTGTACAGTGTGTAGGTGTGTGTGGTACTGTGTGTGTGTGTGTGTGTGCGTGTGCGTAGATGCGGCGGACAGACAGGTCTCAGTTGGTTTGGTTTCCCCTCTGCTTACTTTTAATACTTGTAAATAAAACTTTTGCCCCGTAATTTCAGTTCCCGATTATAGCGACCAGAGAGAGGGGGGGGGGATATATAGTCTCTGATAGTGTTGCGTTACTTGTTTGATTCTGAAATTGTATATATTTATATAAATATGTGTGTGTGTGTATTATGTCCGCATCTGTAGCCTGTTATTGTCTCATTATACCGCAATGTCAATGAATTAAAGTAAATATCTAAGTCGTCATGAACACATCTGTCCATCAGACAGAGGGCTGCTGTGCCTCCTGTCATCATTAATGGACGTCTCTTTAAAATGACCGCTCAGAGGAGAGGATTTCTCATTTCTATAAACGCCTGCTGCTTCCCCTCTTCTGACCTCGGTTCCCCTCCTCGACTCCTCCGCTCGCATCTCCTGTGGGCGGGACTAAGACACGAGGATAAGAGTCGAGGAGGGGAATTAGCGAAATGAGAAAGGCCCCTGGTTTTGAATCTTAGCATTAGGTTGCATACTGTGCTTCCCGTTGGCCCATCGATGCTCTTATTTTACTCATCAAAGTCATAGACATGAGACTCATAAGTGAAAAAGAGTGCCCTTGTATTTTTTGTAGCTCCGCCGACTCCTGACCTATCCATTGCATGCTTCTGCCCTCCATACATTGAATGTCGTGAAATAAGTTCAATTAGGTTCAGCGGTTCTCTTCTCCACACTCCTCCTCTACTTTGACATACACATTCAGCCTTGAATAGTATGTTCAAGACTTGAATGCCGTCTTTTGCAAGAGCTTTTACAGCCGTGTCTTTAACTTTTGAAAACCTTTTGTTGACGTTGTAGCAGTAGAATGTTGTTCTCATGGTCATTGACGCAATCAAAGCTGCAATGCAGCCTATTTCCGCAGAAAAGCCTTTCCCCATTGTTTATCACCCGAACTGAATTTTTCATTCAGTGCATTCATCTCTAAAGGATGATTTTTCTTTTCCTTTTATTGCTACAGATCTGTAAAAACAATGCAATCCATATACAGTAGAGTCTAAATTGCTGATGCTGTAACTTCATAAGACACCAACACATTCAAATAATGCTGGCTACAGCAGTCTTGATGTAATAGCCTGGTCTGTTTCACAGGAAGTTGCCACCTTCCTGTAGCTGGGGCTTGTACAGATACAAATTGTTGGACCAACTTCTGCACTCTAAGGACTTCACCAAAAATGGACAGCCAGTCTTTTTTAAATAATGCAAGCAGTCAGTGGTGACAGAGAGATTATGCAAAGGAAAGTACCCAAAGTACAAGCATAGAAGCCTATTGTAAAAAAGGTATAATTGTTTAAACTGTCACACCTGTGCCAGGATAATTCCTTTTTTTGGACAACATCGTATCACACCACTTGACTTCATTGTTCAATTTATTTTTGCATCGCTTGCTTTGTTGGCAATAACCCACCCAGTAAACACACTCCTTCAAATGCTCATAGGCTGTCCTTCTCATAACCATCAGAGTCTTCTAAGTAAGTACTAAAAATATCTCTATCAGTAAAAACATAAGGATGAGAAAGACCAGCTCTGACTCAACTGGTGATTGAGAGGAAAAAGATTATTTTAGACACTAAGAGATTTGTCTTTTTAGAAGGCATGATGTTTTCTTGGCTGTTGTTTGGATCCATATTACTGGACCAAAGTATCCATTTTGTCTTTTTGGGTGAAGAACAAAATGAAAGTGCCTACACAGATCTGTCACTAAGCACACGCACATATAGTCACTGGGCGCCTGAGGAGGATATTAAACAGGTTTCCTTATTTCAGGTTCATTTATCTATCTGCACTGGGGCCCCTGAGCTGTGTATTCTTTCCTATGGCTACGGCATGACGGTCAATCTATACAGTGATGAAACTGCTCATAACTGCATGTTTTCCTCCTCGCTCAAAATAAACATCATAGAAAATAAGATTACACTTCTAAATAAAAGATATTCCAAAGGCACCACTTGAACAATTAAGTAGTCTCTACTGTATATGTAAATTGAACAAGAGCAAACAAAATCGTTGTCTGTTTTCTTTTGTAACCCAGTGTAATTAAAGTGCAATTGCTGAAGATTGATTCAAAGTCAAATAAACCCAATTGGTGCAATAACTCTTTAATTATTTCATGAATAAAAGCCAGAGAAAGAGCAGAAAAGCCTTTATGTTGTACACAATACTTTATATCAAAGAATCACATATAGAAAACACACTTCCTTCAAGAGAACGCTTTAACAGTTTTTTTCTGATTCTCCCATTAGTTGCTTATCGTGTTAAGCCCTCGACTACTAAGGACATTCGAGCAACAGAAATACACACACCACAGCACACAGACCCTTAACTTTAAGATAAGAATGCAACACACACAATTCAAAAATATATCTTCTAATCTCGCAGTAGTTTTCTTTTTTTTAAATCTTTTGTACAGTTAGAAAAAATACAGTTAACTGAATTCATTGGAGGAACTGCAAAGTCACATGTGATGCTGAGTTTTACACCATGACAGCTTTTGGGTAAAGCACTGCTCTGTCCTCGCTGCGGTGTCCTGTGTGCCGTCAAGCATCAATGCGTGTTCACTTGCCCGAAAGGTTTGGAACGTTGTGCCCTCCCAGCCTCCTGTGGGTCATGTGTGCTCACAAGTCGTCACCTCGGGGAGGGGCATCTGGTCCTGCATGATCACTTGAGGAGGGGGGGGGGGCAGGGCGAGCGTGGGCCACTGAGTTTTTCTGCAGCGCCACCCCGAAGGCAGGAGAAGCGTTCTGCAACTGTCTCCTGTACTGCACAAAGCTGCAGGTCTTTAGGATGATGGCCAGGATGTTCTTACCCATCAGGATCCCGGATACCCTGGCGTCCCTGTACAGAATCATGTTCCCCCCGCGGATGAAGAGGGTGATGACGTTGACAGTCACCAGACTCAGGATGGGGTACAGGAGCATCTTGTGGGGCACGATGTTGATGCCCTGCATGCTGATCTCGCTCAAGGACACGCAGGGCAGCACGAGCAGCAGTATGTAGCAGTAGAAGAACATCAGGCCCTCGGCCCACAATGGAAGCCCCTTCTTTTGGGGTTCCCACAGGTTAGCCTGGATGTCCAGTATGTCCAGCAAGTCCACCACAACCCAGAAGAGACGATTACGGATCTCCTCGCGCTTCTTGAAGGCGCGAACATACTCCATGTGGTCGATAGCAACTAGAACCACAAACAGCACCGGGATGCAAATTGACAGCAGCAGAGTCAACGCTTTCCTCGCAAGAGCGTCCAGGCTCTTCCTGTCCGCCTTGTAGTTTTGATACACAAAGTAGACCTTGATCTCCAGCACAAAGATGTACAGGAACCAGAGGATCATGGCGTAGCCCCGCTTAGCTGTCCGTACCTCGGCACCCACCCACACCGCTACGTACCGCAGGACGATCAGGAAGCAGATGTCACCTACCATCACCATGATGCAGATGCCAATCTTTCGTGGCCCGTGGTTCTGCTCCACCAGGTAGGCATCAATCAAGGCCATGCTGCTCATGATCAGGATGGTGGACAGGCACACATGGGGCTTGTTGGTGGGGGGTGGAGGTACCATCCTTGCCTGGGCGAGAGGAGTGTTGCGGAAGAGGGGGTGCAGAGGGTGTTCGGTTTGTCCAGTGTGGGTGCAGATCAGATAGGGCTGCTAGACAGCGGTGTTCCCCTCCATTGCTTCTGCCTTGGCCAGAGTCCAGGATGCATTAATAGGATTCACACAGATCACTTCAATCAATCTCCGCCTGTGCCCAAGCCACCTGCCGGGTAGACAGTACCCCTCATTTAGTAAATTATGTTCATTGGCAAATGGTCTGTAAACATACAGGATCCTTGTTGTAACAATTAATTAAATCTCAGGATGTGTGTCTACCTTACCACCCTGATAATCACTCCATCACACACAGCACAGCAGTTTAATCAACCAGTTGGATTTTCTGTTATTGAAATAGAAAGAAAAAAGCTGCTGCGAAGTGTTCTCATTCCAGATTCCTCTCCGACACCCTTGTTTTCACACAAGCTTAAGCCTTCAGAGATAAAAATCCTGCTGAATACTCACTTGTGTCCCTCTTTGCACTTTATCCTAATGACTGGCAGCGAGCGATCATCCATGTGACTGCACTGGGAGATCACAAAGCCCATCTGTAATCCACAGAAGAAGAGAGGAAAAAACGCACGGGATCCTCTCCTTCTCTGACCGACGTAAATCCACCGGTCATGGATATTTTTCTCGTTTTCTTTTCCTTTCTCAAGCGAAGAAATCCCAATATATTGCCGTCATAATCCACTTACTGCTCAGACTGAATCGGGAGAAGGCATTTTAATGGTCTCAAAGACCGCTCTCAATTCCTGCAACTAGGAATAGCAGGTTACGTGGTGTTGTGCGTAGATAGAGGGATTAAACCTCCAACTCCCCCGAATCGAGAAAGTTATTCTTAGTGTGAAAATCTCTGCATTAAGTCCTGTTTAAAAAATAATTCCTTCTCCAGAAGTTTTTCTCTCCATCATCCAGGATCCACGGACAGGAAAATGTACCATTCTGTATCTGTGCAAGTTTGTGCCTTTCAGAAAATAAGAGGTTTGTAGTGAAAGTGGAGTGCATGTGTGTTTTCCAGCGTGTGTGTGTAGGTTTCAGCTGTCTCCACGCATCGTTGTCGCTGTAAAATGTTGCCCCCCTGGCGAGATGCTGGCTGCTGCGCTGTTTTCAGTCTCCTGCTCAAGCAGCTTTTGCCAGGGACTCCCGGATCAACAGCACCGTTGGATTCCCCCGTCTCCACTCGTGCATGTTCTGCCAACAGTCAGATGCTCCTCTGTTGCGTTTCAGACACACTCCCGGGATAAGCTCTCTCACAGCCTCGCTCCTCTCCCTTCTCCCTCTTCTGCTCAAGTAAAGGCACTTGCTGTGTGGAGGTGACGCTCAGCAGACCACAGCTGCAGAGCGAGGGAGAGAGGAAAGAGGTGGAGAGAGAGACGGAACACTTTTCCAGGGGGTGGAGGAAGGCGGGGGGAGGGAAAACGAGCCAGCCTTTTGCAGCTTAGCTGAATGCACAACTTCTCTCTCACCCTGTGTTTTTTTTTCTTCCCTTCTCACATCCCTGTCTTCTCTTCACATTGTGTCTTGCACTGATATCCTATTTTCTCGGGCTGTTTCTTTTTTGGCTCCCAAAAAAGAGCCCTGGTTTCCTTCATCTTTTAGGATCCCATTAAGGTTCTGTGCATTTCCTTTTTCTTCATCTGAGGTGCAGAGATGAAAAGTGATCCAAAGAGGCAAACAAAAAGGGGGGGTGGAGGAAGAGGATATGCTCTTCAGTATGGGATGTTAAAAAGCCAGCTTCCCAGCAGTCTGTGGAGACATGGGGGAGAAGGGGAAGGGAGGGAGAGGGGGGGGTGAGGAGTGCAGTGGCTCCTCCTGACAGAGCCTTTGTATTGATCTCCGGACATAGCGGTGAATCAGGAGCCTGAGATGGGGCCAGAGCCCAAAAGAGATGGGGCCAGAGCCCAAAAGAGATGTGGGGTAAAATGATGTACGGATGTCAGACTTTTTTATTTAAATCAACAAAACTAGCTGGCTGAGTGACATGATAAGAGAAGAAAAAGAACAGGAGATGTGCGAGGTGGGACTAAATGTCAGGGGAACATTTTAATCCTCTGAGATGTAATAATGCCTGGGCTGGGAGATAATATGAAATAAAGGTGGAGAAAGGTTGGTGTGTTTTTCTCTGCCATATAGAGTATGCTAACACCACTAGCTCTGTTTATCCAGCTGGGCCAATTATGGATAATCCTTCCTCAGAGGAACCAAACTGCTTTCATTACTACAGTATGAAGCCATAACTACTCACTCCATGAATTGCAGTTTATTGAGAAGTCAAAAGTATTGGCTTTCTGTGCAGTGTGGCTTGCACTTTTCATCCAACTGTGTAACGACAACTAAACCTAATTGCCATCAATCATGCAGATTTTTGCAGTCATGAATGAATATGGTCACAAATTTACCAGATGGGGATCAGCTGACAGCCGCCATCATGGCTGTTTATGGCTCCTATCATGGAAGCATAAGAAGGCTTCGTGGTTTGAAATATTCAGTCAAGCGTAACAGCCGTTTTTTGCCTTTCACCAAGCTGGTTTCTTATTGACTATTTCCTCTGGATTTGTCAGACATAATTGAGCCTTGACAAGCGGAGTGATGAGTTAGGATCCTCCTTAATCTCTATAAACAAATATCTGCATATGAATCCAGAATCAACGGGAAACGGGACAAGATTTTGGTATCTCTGGTTTCTGATTTCTAGTTCGAATAGTAGTGACCAATCTGGTTTTAGCAGAATTTGGTTGCGTTTGTGTGGAAAGCATAAGAGGCGAGACGCTTTGTTAAAAATGCAATCACTGAACCAATCGGCTATCGCCTGATAAGGATTTGGCTTTCAATTGGCTTCTTCATTTATTAGTCAGCATTAATATACAGACATCTGTTTATATGGATTGGCCTACATTTTTCTTCGATGAGGAAGTTGCCAATCGGAGTGTAAACAACGTTTGGTGCACAGAAGGGAAGTCCAGAAACCCTGCAATATCAGCCGGTTCGGTTTGAACCGTCTGATAGCGAACAGTTCAGAGATTAGACTATTTTTTTAAAACAACATTTATTTTACATTTCATTATAAAGCACAAGACTTATTCTAACTTAATACCAACTGTTGTGAGTGAAACGCATTACAAAATTGTAGAAAATATGTCCTCGGTGGTTAGAAACTAATTGTGTAATGAAAGGTCACGAGTCTGATCCCTGTGACAGGCAGCGCACCCATTAACAGCGCTGTGTCCTTGAGCCAGACACTAAACTGCTAGCTGCTTCCTCATTTGCGCAAAGTCACTCTGGGTAGCTGAATTGTAAATGTAAATGAGTGGATGGCTTATTGACAGTTCCACAAGGTAACACATCTGTGATCTTAATAGTTTCACTCCCAGCTCAAATCAGTATGGGAGATTGATGCAGCACCTTTATCTTACACTTTGTTAATCCCCACACATCTCATCCAGTGATCTATAATTCATATCTTAATTTACATGCTTTTTGTTATACACATTGGAGTCCAATATAACTTCTCCGTTTAAAGGGCAGTTAACCTGGGCTCGGACTTTGATTCACATCAGCGGATGATCTACATTCATATACTGTATGCTCAGCTTTACCCCTTTTGTCTTCCTTCCTTATGTGTTCATAATTCATGAGTGTAGAGGAAATCATATCACTGCCCCTTAAGGGCATTGTCTATTATAGATTGAACTGATTTATGCACAGGTTTATGGTTTATTACAGTTTGTGTGTCAAAGTTATCGTCTTGATTCATGTGATTATACTGTTATATAAACACAAAGCTATATTTTATGATTTATTAGATTTCCCCCCAACAAAGGTGCATTCAGGAGTCTCTTCTGTTGCATTCAGCCCTCTCCCCTTCCATCAGGCTCCGCTCTGCCTCCTACAGGGGTCTGTCCTTGGCTCCAGGACAGGGACACTGCATCATCACTGTTCAGCACCAAGCAGGCTAACACACAACAGATATCAGATAATAAAACGCCAGCTACATTTCCTGTAACATAAAGCATCTACAGAAAACATTTGCAGCACTTTAGGTTAGGGAGCCATGGAAAGGCTACACTGTGGCTTTCACATCCTTGCTTTTTAGAGCTGCAGAGAAAGTGGTTCAGTTTTGTAAAATAAAACGTTCCTTTGAATGTCTTTGCCATAAATGTGGTATTTTGCCTTTTATGCAAATATGTGAGAATGCTATCTCAGAGCACAACGCACTACATTTTCAGAAATGTTTCCTTGACAACCAAGTGCAGCAGCTTGAGAAGCGTGTTTTCTCATCTTGTCAGAAAAAGATATCATAAGAGAATTTCAACACTGGGAGCTACACCTTGAACTCAGCTTAAATACTGTATGTAATGTGTTTTCTAAACATTGCAGCTGCTGTTAAAACAGATACGACTCATCATTGTAGTTAGAGACTTGGACTTCCAAGTGCAGTTTCTTTTTGTAGTTGATTGCAATTTCTAGCTCAATTAGTTGCCATATGCTTTTTCCTTCGTGCATATGTCAACAAGGCTTTTATCAGGGGACTATGTGTGTCTAAAACACAGTATGCCTAGTTGATCAAGGTTTAGTTGAACAACTTTTAATCTTCATACTTCATCGATGTTCCCCCGGAGTGAAATCAAGGGGAGATATTAATGTGCTGCAGGTAGTGGCATAATTACAAGGGTATGCATCACTGAATGAATAGGTTGATTTGATTTCCTTTGTGTTTAGACTGTGGATGATTTACTTAACAGTCAAGAGTGAAGCATGATTAATTTATACCGCTATGCCACATGAAACCTGATAGAAATACCTGCCAATTACAATTACCTTGAGACTTGTCGTTTTGTGTGGGAGGAAATGTTTCTATCTTTGTCTCCGCGTTTGTCGCCATTGTAGAGAGACACGAGTGCTAGGCTAAGAATTAAGTTTCAGCGTCACAACATTCAACGTTCATGATTTGCAGGTGTTGTTATCGGATGGGGGGGAAAAAACAAAGGCAACCGACACAAACATGGATTAATTGCATGGGTTTGGCAGCCGGGATTCGCTGTCAGCAAGTTGTGAAAAGATTGGGGAATTTACATCACCTAAGACAATTTGTACATGAAGCATAACTGTTGAAATGGGACACATAAATCACATTAGCTGTAACCCTGAGTCTGCCATCGATTACCTACAGGAAAACAAATGGGGGCGTTAAGGCTTCCCATCCTTAAACATCCCCATCAGGGTTGTAAACACCAAATGGGAAACATGAAGTGGACAGAAAGCTGCTCCCCATGGGGCTATTAGCCCAGAGAGAGGGGGGAGTGGGGAGACTTTCCTCTACCCCCTGCTCACCAACCAGGGGGTAATTTCAGCCCCCCGTAGCTATGATATTTATCTGATCCGTAACAGGGAAGTATGCTGGTATCTTATATTTGACTTGACATCAGGTCAAATGGGAGACAAAGGATCGTCAACAG